CTTTGTATATTTTAAGCAAAGCTTGGACCCCCCCAATACATTTTGCTGGATCCGCCACTGCTTTGATGGTAAGTTTTAGGCAACAACCCTTGTGGTAAGTTCTAGGTAACAACCCTAGATGGTAAGTTCTAGGTAACAACCCTAGATGGTAAGTTCTAGGTAACAACCCTAGATGGTAAGTTCTAGGTAACAACCCTTGATGGTAAGTTCTAGGTAACAACCCTTGATGGTAAGTTCTAGGTAACAACTCTTGATGGTAAGTTCTAGGCAACAACCCTTGATGGTAAGTTCTAGGCAACAACTCTTGATGGTAAGTTCTAGGCAACAACCCTTGATGGTAAGTTTTAGACAACAACCCTTGATGGTAAGTTTTAGGTAGCAACCCTTGATGGTAAGTTCTAGATAACAACTCTTGATGGTAAGTTCTAGGTAACAACTCTTGATAAGTTCTAGGTAGCAACCCTTGATGGTAAGTTCTAGGTAACAATCCTTGATGAAAAGTTCTAGGCAACAACCCTTGATGGTAAGTTGTTAGAAACAACTTTTGATGGTAAGTTTTTGGCAACAACCCCAGATAGCAAGTTCTAGGCATCAACACAAGATGTTAAGCTCTAGGTTCTAGGCAACAACCCTAGATGGCAAGTTCTAGACAACAACCCTAGATGGCAAGTTCTTGGCAACAACCCTAGATGGCAAGTTCTAGGCAACAACCCTAGATGGCAAGTTCTAGACAACAACCCTAGATGGCAAGTTCTAGACAACAACCCTAGATGGCAAGTTCTAGACAACAGCCCTAGATGGCAAGTTCTAGACAACAACCCTAGATGGCAAGTTCTTGGCAACAACCCTAGATGGCAAGTTCTTGGCAACAACCCTAGATGGCAAGTTCTAGACAACAACCCTAGATGGCAAGTTCTAGACAACAACCCTAGATGGCAAGTTCTAGGCAACAACCCTAGATGGCAAGTTCTAGACAACAACCCTAGATGGCAAGTTCTAGACAACAACCCTAGATGGCAAGTTATAGTAAACAGCCCTAGGTGGCAAGTTCTTGGCAAGAATCTTAGATTGTAAGTTCTAGGCATTAACAAAATTGGTAAGCGCTAGACAACAAACCTAGATGGTAAGTTCTAAGCAACAGTCCAAGATGGTTATTCTAGGCAGCAAACCTAGATGGCACATTTTAGGCAACAACCCTTGATGGTAGGTTATAGGCAGCAAGGATGTTTCGATTCACTAGTTAAACCATCTGTTGGGGTGGACCTAAAAACGGAAAACATTAACTCTCTGGGAAAAATGGCTAGGGTTTTAATGTTCGCTGACTATTACAATCTCAAAAGCCAGCAGCGTGGGTTTCACCTTGTGGTTCGACTATCCCAAACAGTCTAACCATGGATGATAATTATGGTTCAAGGCTGGTAACATGTTTAGGTTATAACAACTGTTTGGTACAGCAGCGTGGGTTTCACCTTGTGGTTCGACTATCCCAAACAGTCTAACCATGGATGATAATTATGGTTCAAGGCTGGTAACATGTTTAGGTTATAACAACTGTTTGGTACAGATTCATGGTCACCCGTTTTATAAATTGGAAGCATCAAAATTTACAATATGTTATTGCCAATACCAGGAACGTATCTAAAAAATGGGGGAAATCTTCTCAACTTACTGACAAAAAAAAGTTCATCAGTATATGTGGTATTTGTAATACATGATTTCAATGAATGTGTCATTTGCATTTTCAGTGACTTGCTGCGTCAGGGACGTAGATGTACGGGAACTTCAGCAGAAATACCAGATTTGACCAGAACTCATTAGTTCATTACAGATAGCACAGCTTTATTCATCTAAACCGTCAGCAGAGGTCACGCCTCGCTGTCCACTTAATTAGTTAATTCTAAACAATACTGCAACGGCGTGTGAACCAAATGTGTGAACATGATGTCGTTATGGTAACACATTTCCTCTCTAACAAATTTTGAGCTGTCCTTTAGCTGAAGTGGAAATATCTTTAATTTTCAAAATATTACCGAGTTACATATAATTATATTGAACACGCACAAATGTTTGCAATTATGGAGTAATAATTACGTAGGCGCACCACTTCTATTTCAGAATGATTTTAAAACGTTACAAAAGTGCCTATCAAATCAATATATTTGAAATCGCAAATTGTAGGAACTATTCTAAAAACAACACATTAATTGACAACTCCTAAACTTCTTAAAACTATATTAAATCTTACTACTTAGAAATGTTTAAATTTGCCATAATAAAGAACCTCACATACATAATATGGGCGTTCACATAAATATAACTCGTCATCACAAAAAAATCGTTCGTAAATTTGACAATATGAAGCATGCAATATATCGCGAAAATTAAACAGTCCTACGATTTTAAAAATGTTCATCGTCGTTGATTCCTGCACGTGTTTTTTTATATCGAGAGCAATCGTTATGCTGTTTTACATCTGTTAAGTATTATGTATATACCTTAAGCGGGCGTATATATACTTTATATAACAGTTTATTGTCCTTCTCACAGTTTTTGGTGTCGTTCACTTCGTACTGATCTTCCGGACTATTTCTTGAGGTTTTCTGGAGTATTCATCTTGTCAGCGGTGTTGTTTGAATGAATCTGTCTCCATGCTTCAAACGTGTCGTCTCTCTTCTTGATGTCGAAGTTGAATTAATTTGGATCTTTGCCAAGTGTTACGAAAAAAGCGTTGAAATGAGGGGACTCGTGCGAGCGTGCAGAAGACGCTTACCACAGAGAGCATGCAGAAGACACTTACCACGGAGAGCGCGCAGACGACACTTACCATGGAGAGAGTGCAGAATACACTTACCATGGAGAAAGTGCAGAAGACACTTGCCACAGAGAGCGTGCAGAAGACAGTTGCCACGGAGAGCGCGCAGACGACACTTACCATGGAGAGAGTACAGAAGACACTTGCCACGGAGAGCGTGCAGAAGACACTTACCACAGAGAGCATGCAGACGACACTTACCATGGAGGGAGTGCAGAATACACTTACCATGGAGAGAGTGCAGAAGACACTTGCCACGCACGGCAAATGTGATATCCCAGAGTTCAATGCGTTTTGTACCATCCAATATACACTTTATCTCCGCACGAGGGCGCAATTTCAAATTGAAAGAAAAACTAGCATACACGCTATTACCATTCTATGACCTCAATTGACCCACCAGCCTCATTCCCAACTTGATACTGGAATTCTCATTTTTTTGATGTATTTAAAGTTTTTTACCCGGATCGTTTTAACCATTTCAATAAATAGTTATAGACTATAATTGATTATGCGAAATTACTGCATTTTTGGTGGTTTTTGGCCTACTCCTCTCACTGTTATGTTAGAATTACCGCGAGAGTGCCTCCTATGGATTGTCAACATGGCGGCTCACAAAGTTACGTTCGGTAAGTTCCTTTTTTTTACGTTTTACACACAAAAAAAGCAATTTTTAGAAAATAACGTTCGATTTCTTCAATTATTGGCGCCTTTTTTGTTGCAAAATGCTGGTCGTGAAAATGAAAAACGTAATTTTGTTGGGGATTT